GGGCCAGATGCACCCTGAGGAAGTGCCCACGAGGGCCTGGGCGCCCGTGGGACAGGATGGGGAGGAGTCCTGCCGGTGAGTGAGCCTATGGGCTGCGGGTGCAGGCGGTGGGCAGGTTTCTGCTGTGGGCTGCGCCGGGACCATACGGGCTGGAGTGGGTGTGGGAGCAGGGTGGATGTGGGGTGCCCTTTGCAGCAAAAGGCTGCAACCTAGGGGCCCCGACCACTGGGGAGCACAGCCTGGGGGGGGGCCGACTCCTCCACCCCAGGGGTAGCGTCACTGCCCCTCCTGCCCCTGGGCCTTCCCTCCTCCTTTCTTTCCTGCTGCAGGGTCCTGGAGTCCAGAACCTCCCCTGGGCAGAGGCTGCCCTGGAAAGGGGAGCAAACTTCCTCCCAGCCCAGCCCTTCCCCTCTAAGTTGCCTGGGCTGTCTCCAAGGGCTCCCCACCAGGAGGCCACTCCAGACCCCGCGGCTCTGCTCTGCTTGGCTTCAGAAGCAGCCGCTCCCTGAGGGCAGCACCTGGGGCCCAGTGGGGAGCCTGGCTGGGCAGCCCCCATCCCCCAGGCTCCTCCCTGGACTCAATCCTGGGTGTCACCACCCCCAGCAGCTTGGTGGGATCAGGCCCTTCCACCCCCATCCCCCACCCTCCTTGGCCTGGGCTCCGCCTGGGGGCCACACTAGGGCAGTCCCTCCAGCTTGGCCAGTGGGGACACAGCAGGCTGTGTGAGGCCGTGCTGTGGCTGGGTGCTGCTGGCTCCAGCACTCACTCTGTCCCCACAGGCTTGTCCTCGTGGAAAGCATCCCCCAGGACCTGCCATCTGCAGCCGGCAGCCCGTCTGCCCAGCCACTGGCCCGGGCCTGGCTGCAGCTGCTAGACACCGCCCAGGAGAGCGTCCACATTGCCTCCTACTACTGGTCCCTCACCGGGCGTGACATCGGGGTGAACGACTCGTCTTCCCAGCCGGTGTGCCCCTGGCCCCACTGCCGACTCTGAGGCATAGGCCATCCCCACCCCGCTCCACCCTGGGCTGGGCACACAGCAAGTCAGAACACCAGCCTGTGCCAGCTCCCCAGTGGGGCCAGCCCTTCCTCCGGGGCTCTGGGGGCAGGTGTCGGGGGTGGGTCTCCGGGGGACAGAGCACTCCGACTATGCCTGCGTGGAGTTCAGCTCCCAAGCAAGGGTCATCCTCGTCCAGATAGCTGGCCCAACACTGAGCGGTGGGCAATCCGTGTGGCCTTCTGAGGGCAGGGCTGCGTCCCGGTGCGGGGGTGCCTCCCTCACAGCTGGCCTGGCCTTGCAGGGGGAGGCCATTCTGCAGAAGCTGCAGCAGCTACTGGAGAGGAACGTTTCCCTGGCTGTGGCCACCAGTAGCCCGACGCTGGCCAGGGAGTCTACTGACCTGCAGGCCCTGGCAGCCCGAGGTAGGGGCCTGCACTGCCCTGGGACCTGCTGCCCTGGACATTGGGCACTGGCCCTTGTGTGGCACCCACAGACAAGGACAAGGAATAACAGAGCTGACGGGGGGTGGGATGGGTGGGAAAGGACACCCTGGGAGGGCAAGGGCCCAGGCTCTGAGCTCCTTAGAGGTGGCTTCACTGGGGACAGGTGGTTCCAAGGAGCCAGAAGTGGTCATTTTCCACAGGGCAGAGCACACGTGGCCTCGGGGCTTGCTGAGCCCAGCTGCTATGGCCTGTTGGTGAGGCTTAGGCTGGGTTGGTGAGCTCTGGCCGGGGAGCAGGAGGCGCGTGGCACAGTCGTTACAAACACGGCTCTGGAGCCAGGCTGCCTAGAGGGACCCTGGGCAGGTCTCTCCCTCAGCGCCCGCACCTACAAAATGGGGACGGGGACAGCATCACCGTAGTGGGAGTGTTGTAAGGACGTGCGTCAACCCCGCTGCTAAGAGCGCAGTCGGGCTCAACAGGAAGTCAGCCCGTAACGGAGGCCAGTTCATCCCATCACCCTGAACTCCCGCCAGGTGCCCAGGTGCGACGGGTGCCCATGGGGCATCTCACCAGGGGTGTTTTGCACTCTAAATTCTGGGTCGTGGACGGGCGGCACGTGTACGTGGGCAGTGCCAACATGGACTGGCGGTCCCTGACGCAGGTGAGTCCCAGGTCCCGGAGACGGGACACCCACCTAGAGCTCTTCCCCTCCCGCGCTCGCTGGGGCTTTGCCTGGTGTGGCGGCTCATCTGGAGAAATTCACGTTGAGAACGCCCGCATGGCGGCAACAACCGGACACTGTTCGATAAGTCACGGAATCCACACGGCCACTGAGGTCATGCTGTGGAGTGACGGTTGGTGACGCGGGAAGATGCCTGAGTCACATTGTCGAGGGAACCATGCAGACCAAAAAGTATGAGCCTTTTTGAAAGAAATGCATTAAAAATGCGTCTAAGAATGATCGTGGAAATGGTGACAGTGCTTAGCACTGGAGAGTGAAATTAGGAAGGATTTTTATCTTTTTTGTGTGTGTTTTGATGCATTTTTTGGTAATAAACATGTATTTCTTTGATCATAACCCACTGGGCACCCACCCTGAGCACAGCCCGTTAGATCCCCACAGGTGGTGCTGCCAGGGCTGTCCCTGGGCCCAGGGTGGGTGGGTCCCACGCAGCCCCACGGGGGAGCCCTGCGACCTGCAGCAGCCGCCCCGTGCCTGCAGGTGAAAGAGCTTGGCGCCGTCATCTACAACTGCAGCCACCTGGCCCGAGACCTGGAGAAGACCTTCCAGACCTACTGGGTGTTGGGGGCGCCCCGGGCCGTCCTCCCCAAAACCTGGCCTCGGAACTTCTCGTCCCACATCAACCGCTTCCAGCCCTTCCGGGGCCTCTTTGATGGGGTGCCCACCACCGCCTACTTCTCCGTAAGCGGGTCGAGGAGGGGCCGCCAGAACCCCCGGCTCAGCTCTGGCTGGCCAGACCCACCAGGGAACCTGCTTCGCTCTGGGCTTCGTGCAGACACCAGCAGCATCTGCCGGTCCTCAGGGAGCCGGCGCCACGGGTGGGGCCGCGCGCTGGGCTGTGCGTGGAGGCAGGCCTGGCTCCAAGGGAAGACACCAGACAGCGCCATCCACGGGAGACAGGCAGCCTGGGAGGTGGTGGGCATCCTGGGGTGTCCAGACAGACTGCTTGGTGGGTTCGAGGGACTCCAGCTCGGCAACGGGAGCCCAGGGCCCACTATGTGGGGAAGGAGGGAGAAAGGGGGGCAGGCCGGTTGCCCCGCTCGCAGATAGCACTCCAGTGGAGCGGGGGGCAGGGGTGGACAACCCTCCTGCTGCCCCGGGGGCTGGTCTACAGCACAGCTCCCACACCGGAACAAGGGGAGCCTCCCTCCACGCGAGGGTCCCACCCTGAAGCGGGTGGGGATGCTTCCGTGTGGCAAGTGACTGATTCTGGAAGGTCAGTCCGGCCTGGAGCCCAGGCTAGGCCAGCTGCGTCCCCCCTCCCCGCCTGGTCCCCCCCCTCCACCACCACAAGGGACCTTCGGTGGGGCATGGTGGGGTCACAGGTCCAGATCGGGGTGGGACTGGCAGTGCCCTCAGGGGCACCCCTCCTGGCACAGGCTTCGCCGCCCGCGCTCTGTCCCCGAGGCCGCACCCGGGACCTGGACGCACTGCTGGCGGTGATGGGGGCCGCCCGGGAGTTCATCTACGCCTCGGTGATGGAGTATTTCCCCACCACGCGCTTCACCCGCCCTGCCAGGTGGGTCTGGTTAGAGCCCGTGGCCCTGGAGGTGGAGGTCTGCTCTGCGGCCCGGCGGCTCCTGGCAGCTTCCCCTCCAGCCAGGTCCCCTGTGCGTCCCAGGGCGTGTAAGCAGGCCCCGACCTCCCCTTCCCCAGGTACTGGCCGGCGCTGGACAACGCACTGCGCGCGGCAGCCTTCAGCAGGGGTGTGCGCGTGCGCCTGCTGGTCAGCTGCTGGCTCCACACGGACCCGACCACGTTCCCCTTCCTGCGCTCCCTGCAGGCCCTCAGCAACCCCTCGGCCAACGTCTCCGTGGACGTGGTGAGGACGCGCTCGGGGGCCAGGCTGTGGGGAAGGCGGCCTTCTCCCTGCCAGCCTGACACGCCTCCTCTCTGTTCTCCAAAGAAAGTCTTCATCGTGCCGCTGGGGAATCACTCCAACATCCCGTTCAGCAGGGTGGACCACAGCAAATTCATGGTCACGGAGAAGGTGGCCTACATAGGTGAGTGGCGGGGAGGAGGCCCTCGGGTGGGCGCGGGCCCAGGACCCAGCGACACACAGAGACCACGCAAGTCGCAGGAGGGGATGTAGCCACAGGTGGCGGCCTGGCGCTGAAGGAGGCCTTGCTTTTGTGTTCAGCGCGGACCCCTCAGGACAGAGGGCTGCCTAAGGCGGTCAGGGTCTTGAGCTGAGTTTGGGGACCGGACAACCTGTCCAACTGTCACTTGGCTCCACAGGGGCAGGTGGGAAAATCCTGAGTGCTGGCACACCTGTGTCGGGTGATAAGGATGGCGCCCACCGCAAAGAGCGGGCCCTCCCGCACCTAAGCGAGGGGCTGTCCTGGCTGGAGTTTGATGACAGCGGAGTGGCAGTGTGCCCACCGTCCCCACACCTGTAGCTGGGGCTACAGCGTTGAGCCAGGCTGCAGGGGCCTGTCCGGGCGAGTCCAGTGACCCAGCGTCTCCTCCCACCCACCGCCCCAGGCACGTCCAACTGGTCAGAAGATTACTTCAGCAGCACCTCGGGCGTGGGCCTGGTGGTCAGCCAGACGGCCCCGAGCACGCAGCCGGGGGTGGCCACGGTGCAGGAGCAGCTGCGGCAACTCTTCGAGCGGGACTGGAGTTCCCGCTACGCTGTGGGCCTGGATGGACCTGCTCCGGGCCGGGACTGCGTGTGGCGGGGCTGAGGCCCGGCCTTCTTGGCTCCGGG